AATCCCACAAAAAAGGCACGCCGGGGAGAAAGGTGGGGGGGGGGGCAAGAGGCAGGCAATGGCTGGCCCCCTTGGGAGGGAGCACAGGTACTGGCTGTGAGCCTGAAGGCCAGGAGCCCCTCTCTCCTTCTCAGGGCAGCAGGCCCCCACTGACCTTCATATCACCTCTGGGTGCAATGTCCTGCTAGAAGCCACTGTCACCCTGGCATGAGGAGGGTCCCAGGACTCTCCCTTCTGGCAGAGGTATGCAGGGACAGGGAAGGGGCATATAATGCCTGCAGCAGCCCCAGGAGCATCAGTGAGCTTCTGGGGTTCACTGGATCACCCTTGCCTATGAAGCCCCAGTGAAACATGCCCCAAAGCTGGAGGGAGCCCAAGACCTAGAGAAGCAGCTCCCAAACCTCCAGTGTTGGCAGTGCCTTCTCCTGCTCCTGCCACAGCTGATCCTCTCATTGCTCCAGCAGTGAGACAGCCACATCATTCCCAGGCACCCACACCCCAACACCCCATGCCACAGAAGGAAGCTGCACACAGGACCCAGAGGGCTCAGGTGATGTGGGGGGAGAGGTGACACAAGGAAAGGAACAACACAGGGTGGGAGACAGGCAGCCAGACTCACCAGCTCTGGGCAAAGCTGCCTGAAAACTCTCAGTGCTGAGCAGCAGCCCAAGAGGTGCCTCCTGACACCAGGAACAGTTAGGAAAAGCTGCTGGAGGGGTAGTGTGTTTGAGGAGGTTTTTAACCCTAATCACGACTCTTGACAAGATTATTTTTATTAATTAGCATCCTTGGGTTTATGCAACTTCCTTTTTAAAGGCTTAATACTACTGCAGTGAAACTTTTGCTGCTAAAAAAAAATACTCAGAAACCATCATGTACGTCACTCAAGTGCTGCAGACAGTTCTCCTTAGCCTCAAATCACAACCTTCCAGGCTGAAATGGCATGTGGGGCTGGGAAGACCCTGCACAGACCAGGCCAGGCCACTGCATAGGGTGCCATGGGGCTTACACAGACCCTGCACAGTGTGGGAAAGGGAGCAGTGAGTCCTCATCCATGAGGCAGTTGAGGAGCTTCCTGGATGTTGTTGAGACAGAGCTCATGTAGGCTGTGCCCCAGTACACTGTGGATGCCAAAAGTAGAAATAGGGCCTACAGGATACCCAGCAAGATCCTGGAGGATATATCCAGCTGCACAGGTGCAGCTCACCCAGACCATGCCATGCTTCACATCACCTCAACACCCACCACCAGGGTTCCCTGGCAGAGTATCATTGTCACAGGACATGCCCTGATCCCTGTGTCCTTGTGCCAACCTCAGGCAGCACCAACATTATGGCTCAGGGGGAACCTGCCCTGGCTACTGGCTGCCACATCAGATGTGGGGAGGAGCTGCCTTGGACCAAACATCTGCTACATTAGGCTCCACTCTTGTTCCTCAGCACTGGATAAACCACACCTCACTTCATTTGATGGTACCTTTGAAGCCTTTGTACATCTTGCCCTCAGACTTTCACTTGACACTTTGAAGGGTAACTCTTGACTTTAACTCCATACCAAGGGATGTCTCACGAGCATGCTGGTGTCCAGCTCACCCTCAAGAGTTCCCAGCTACAGACACTGCTCCAGGGTATGGCTTGCACAGAACAACACAGGATGCATGTGTCAGCCAGCCCCATCCCCCTGCAGTGGGGGCAGGAAAGGGGAGAGGGAAAGCCCATGGGGCACAGCTTAGGGTAGACAAACAAGGACTAGGGCTGCCCCTTGGACCTTTGCAGGGATAAACAGGAATCTGCAGCACCCACAGCCACCTTGAGGGCCACCAGCCTCCTGCAGTACCCAGGATGCCCCCAATGAGACAGGGGTCCCAGGACAGCCTGGCCTCGCACTGGTGAATGAGCCTTGGTGGAAAGACCCATGAGGAGCCTGACGCCACTGCATTAACCAGCCAGGGAGAAGGAAAGCCACGGGACAGGGAGCCAGACATTTGGACTGGGGTGAGAACAGGATGGAGATGGTGAATAGAGAGAGGTACCAGTCCAAGAAGGGTAGTTCCACCAAGGGTCTCCCAGTACCCACCTGAGGTCCAGCACATGGGTAGCCCTCAGCCTGGGAAGCAGCTCCCTCCTGACGAGCTGGTTGCTTATCTCCAGCATCACACAAAAGGCAGCCCCTTGGGTGCTGCAGGAATTGGTGCTGGGGACAAGGCCTGTGTCACTACAGGACTGCCCTCCCAGGCCTTGGTGCGTGTCCATGGGGGAGATCCCTGCCTGCAGCTGCTGGAAAGCAGTCAGGAGTGCTCACACTGCCAGCTCCTGCACCTGACCACCAGGTTTTATTGAGCAGGGCAAGGCTGGGATGTGGCTCTGAGTAAGTGAGGAGCCAGGGCAACCCCGATTCCCACCCCTTCTCCACCAGAAGGGCTTCCCATGCAAGTTCCCTGGCACCCACCCTCTTGGCCTGCCCCTGGCCAAGGCTGGGATTGACACAGCCCTGCAGCCTTGCCCATCCCAGGTTTCCTTCCTCTCCAGCTGCAGGGGTCTGGCAGGACAGAGCAGTTTTGCAGCTGCAGCCCTCCAAGCTGTCTCCGCTCACCCCCTACATTATGCTGTCCCCAGCCAGCTTCAGCAGCACATCCACCAGCTCTGCTCCTCGTTGTCCCCAGGATGCCCTCAAACACCAACCATGCTGCTTAAGCTCCTTTATCTTCAGCCCCAGCTCATTTGTCCTTTTGTCCTGCTGCCAATGGTGTAGATTGGGCAAGGGAGTCCTCAATTCCAGGCTGCAATCCCAGAGCCAAGCAAGAGTTCAGTCAGCTTTTCCCTGTCAGAGTTCTGCTCCCCACCGTTGTTTGGAGGGGCATGGCTCCACAAGTCCCCCACACCACGGGGAAGCACAGCTGGCTCAAACGCAGGCAACGGGAGCGAGGCCGGGGCAGAGCAAAGGCTACCTGCGCGGGGTCCCACACCTGCAAAGACAGCACAGCTCGAGGTGAGTGCTGCCAGCGTGCAGGTGAAGGAGAGCACCAGGACCTCCCATCCTCACCCACTCTGCCCTGGCTTTCCCCTCCCTGTGTCCAGGCTCTCCCACACCAAACTGTGGGGTAGGTACCTGGTCCAGGGACCACAGGCAGCCTCTTCAAGGGGAGAAGTGAGGCCAGCTGTAGGTGTTGGAGTGAGCCCCAAGCAACAGGCTTCAGGCAAAATGGGCAAAAACGGTGGAAAAGTGCCAACCACAGGCACCACACCCCAAAAGCATCTGCAGTAAGAGTCCAGGCTGTGCTCTTCAAGCAAATGCTTTAAGACAGTCTGATAAATGTAAGGAAGAAAAAGGTAGAGTAACCCAAACAACAGCTAGCCAAGGACTGCAGGAAGGACACAGCTGGCAGTGAGATAAGGCTGAAACTAGCAATTCATGGATCCAGGAAAACCAGTGTGGTCTGTGATGGCCATAGAGCTAGCTACACACCATCAAGTCACCCAGCCCATCCACCCCTAACCTGGATGGGACTGGCCAGCTTTGACCAGCTGAGCCTGGAGACCACCAAGCACCTGTTGAACCTCAGATAAAAGGTCTGTTTCCCCACAGCCACCCACCGTCCCCTCCATCCTGCTTTCTCTTGTGTCTGCTCTGCACAAACACCTTAGTGCTCACAGCATCACTAAAGGCTTAAGCCTCAAAGAACCCAGAAGACACAAACCAACACCTCCCCTTGCTCACTTACAGTTCACAGTCTTTACGTCTCCTCTTGACTTGTCTTCTCTTACCTCGGCCCTTGGACCTCCTCCTTCAAAAGGAAAGTACCACAAGACAGACTGATGTGTGGGAGATGAGACCCACAACCCCAGCTGGTAACACTGCCCCTAATGTTGCTTACCTGCCCAGCCTCATGAGGTCCTGCCGAGGCCTGCAGGGTGGGAAAAGGACAGAGTGAAGTTACTTGGATAATCCTGCCTGTTGAGCTGCTGGAGGTGGTTTATTGAGATGCCCCAGTGTGCAGCACAATCTACTCATTATCATTCATGCTTAAAACAGAACCAATACCACTTCTCGCCACATTATCAGCTCCTCAGCCAGGAGCTGATTGCAGTTGGCAGAGAGGGCAAAGGGGCAGGGAATGGTCAGCTTTGGTGACTCCCTGGTGACATGATATTTTGCCCATGAGGCTGGGAAGCACAGGTTCAGTTTCAGCTGGTCTCAGTTACAGCCTTCATAGCTCAGCTGGTTAAACAAGGTGCAACATCCCAAGTAACATGGGATTTGCTGCAAAGTCTCAGCAATGATTCTCAGACCATGGCCACGACAAACTCGGCGTAAGCATCCTCTTTAGGGGCCAAGGCCAGAACACCCACCATGCCAATGCCAAACTTCAAAGAGGAGCAATGTAAAGGTGTAGAAGGTGACTTAGGGAGAAGCCAAAGAGTCCTGCAAGAAGTTTACACAAATTCAAAGGCAGCATGTACAACTACTTGTAGGAGATCCCCTGGGAATTACCCTGTGTAGGAAAACCACAACAGGCTCAGGAAATTCCCTGCACGGAAAATAGCTGGAAGTGGAGGGGAGGAAGTAACACATATGCTTCTTCCCATTCCCTCTTCTGCATCCATTGACAAATGCTCCAGAGATGGGCCTTGGGCTCACTCCAGCACAGCTGCTCTTGCAACTACAGGGGAATACCAACCCAGGGATCCTCAGGCTCTTCTTCCAGGCAAGGATCATGTCTAACAGCTGCCCAGCAGGATACTCAATCCCAAACTTTCACAATACTAAATGCCAGGACTCCCATGCAGGCCGTGTTGGAGAGGTTCTGCAGCAGGGACCAGCTGCGGACAGCACTGAAGCCACTCCCTACTCCCACAGCATGCCAGCCCCTGAGCAAATGCCCTGTCCTGTCCAAACTCTCACCACTTCTGGGACACAGTGAGCATCCCAAGGGGTTACCTATGTGCCAGGGGCCAGTGGCAAGTTGGTGCTGTGCATCCATCCTTGGGCTAGCATTGTGCATCCATGCCAGGTTGGCACTGGATGTTTGAAGCTTTCATTTGTCAGCTTAGGTGTAAACCCCTGCTACGCAATCCTGGATGGGGAATTCTCCTTTAAACAGAGGCCCAAGACCCAACCCTTCAGTTTTCTCCTTGGGCCGTGGTCACACTTGGGTATCCCAAGCCATGGAGCCCTCTGCTGAGCCGCCACCTTAGGCATGCAGCCCCACACCAAGGACCTGCCTCAGAGCCACCAGCTTTGCTCCATTACCAACAGGCAGTTCCTCTGGCTGGACGAGCACATGCCAGGCACACCAAGGCAGCTGCAGGGATGGGGGCACAGACATCCCCACTCAGAGCTGGGGTGCCACAGCAGCTCCAGCCCTGCAGGCAGCACACGGTGCCTGCCCTGGCTGCACAATGCTACACTCCCCCTTTGCTGCGGGAGGAGGCTGCAGAGGCACAGGTGCAGCCTGTAGCTGAGCAAAGGACATAAGCACCAGCAAACCCCAGCACCGAGATAGAGGGGGTGCCCCAGCACAGCTGGGGTGGCCCCAGGGCATCCTTATCTCATATGCAGGGGGAGCCGGCAGAGTTGCTCTTGCTGGAGGGACACAGGGGTGGAAAATGAACCTGGGGGTCCCTACTCCCTACCTGCACTCACACTTCTTGTGCTCGGTGAACTCCATCTCCACGTAGGGTGCCTCCCCATTTGGTTTTATCTTCAGAAGCTGGAAGAGGAGCAAAGGTTACTTCCCGACCGGCAGCAGGAGGGGGCTGGAAGGGCTCCCGCAGCACCACCTCGCCCACCCCAGCCTCTCAGGCAGACGCACGTTGAACCTGTTCCTCGGGACCTCCGGCAGCAGAGACTCCACCTCCTCACCCAAGCAGCACCAGCCAGGCCCAGGTGCCCCAGCAGTTTGGGAGGCTCTGCTAGTGCTCCCCTGTGTCTTTGGGGCTTCCATTTAAGTCCTGTGTTCTCAGGATTTCTCAGTCTTAGAGGATATTTTTCTGTCTCTGCCTTTGTGGAGAGCTTTCACATATTTAACCACTTCGCACATTTCCCCTCTCTGATGGAAATACCCCCCTAGTTGTGTTTTCCAGACCATTCTTGATGCTGCGTCCTCTTCCTGGCCCCTTTTCCCACAGCACCAAGCCTGGAGTAAGTACCATGTGCCTACCCAGCCCAGAATTGCAAGATCTGTCCTCTCACCTGTCAGTCCACAGCCCAGCCCAGAGTTCTGGTTGGACATCCAGGGGCTTCACAAGGTATGTTCATCATTGTTGTGGCCTACACCAACCCCTGCAGAAGTGCCTGACATGGCCAGCCTGTGTACAACCCCTAACATGGAGGGAGACCTGTGCTTGGGGTGTTGCCCCTCATTCATGTCAGGTAGTTACTCCACCTCAGTCAGGATTTTTTGGAGACACCCACCCTTGCCTTACAACATGATTTCAACTCTCAAGGGATCAAAATCACTGACAATGTATTCCAGGCATTCTCTAGTCTGTCACCTACGGCAAAACAGAGCTTTTCCCTGCTCCCTGCAGGGGGTTGATCTCAGGCAGTGCAGGCAAGGGCTGCAACGTGAGGAGGACAGCTCCTTCCCACACAGGGAAGCTCTGACCAGCAGCTTGTTTGCAGCCTGGAATCTCCCACCCTACTTCACACAGCTCCCACAGCAGGGACTGGAAACGCAGCTTGCACAGCCCTTCACATTTCCTACGCTCACAGCACACATTCACTGTCAGCACCACCATGGGCATCTCCTGATAATCAAGAGCATCACTTCTCCCTGGGATGCAAGGGCAGCACCTGCTTTGCCCCAACAGGCAATCACAGGCAACTGGGACATCCCCATCACAGGACAGGGAAGGTCTGGACAGGTGACTGCAGTCAGCAAGATAGACTATGCAGAGAGGAGAGGGCAAAAAAGCAGGGAATGAGGCCAGCACAACCAGGGATGAAACCTGGCCTCAGGAACAAGCCCAAAGAGTGAGCATATGGACCCTCCATTGCATTTAAGCAGTTGTGAGTAAGCCCTCTCCCCTATTACCCTTGCTGCTATGATATCTGGAGGACAAGTTCACCCCTCCCGGCACTTGGCTCGGAGCCTGCCCCCTCCCCGGCACAGCCACTGCCCCGCAGCAGCAGAGCTTACCTGCATGGTGACTGTGCTTGTCTCCACAGGGACACAGAGGAGACCCTCATCCCCACAGCAGCCCCCACAGCGCTGCAGGGAGACGCAGGAGGGTCTGAAAATGTACTCCACCTCGTTGGGGAACTCGGTAATGACGTCCACCAGCTGCTCCAGAGGCCTGCAGAAACTACGATTCCAGATCTCCCGAAAGCTCAGGACTGCAAAACACCGGGGTGGGGGGCTCTAAGGAGGCACCGGGAGCGGCTGAGCCCAGCCAACCCACTGCCAGGGAGTGCACAGCAGCCACGGTTTGGTCCTGCCTCCATCACGGGGGCACAGGGATGCAGAGGAGCCCCTTGTGCCCCCAGTAAATCCATCACCGCACTAGTGCGGGGCTCACACAGCCCCCACACCCACCCCGACGTGCTCTTTCTCCACCTGCCCGCCAACTCGCCTCCCCCTTCCCGAGCTTCCCTCCCGCCCCGGCGGGGCTCCCCCGTCTCCCCTGCCCGTCCGCGGCAGAAGCCCAGCCCCCAGCACAGCTGACAACCGTCCCCTCGGGTTTCCCAGCGAGGAGAGCAGAAGGGAGCCGAAGCGGAGTTTTCCTGTCCGGGACCTCCCACCCGGCCCCGGAGCAGCCGTAAGCCCGGCTC